CCCCCCCCCCCCCCCCCCCCCCCCCCCCCCCCCCCCCCCCCAAGCCCGTAAAGCCAAACAATCGTTAATTAAGTGACATCGCGCGAGGGGTTGGGGAGACGAAAAGAGAAAGAGAGAGCGAGAGGAGGGGAGAGGGAAACGTGGAACATTTGGGACGATCAATCGGTGTGAAATTTAATTTTCACAAATTTAGCGAGATTTAGTTTTCCGTTCGATAAACATGAACGGCGTTAATTCACTGGATAAATTGAAATTCACTGCTCGTCGCGGAACGATCGGACAGAAACAATTCTAGTTAGGACCTGGGAGAAAAGGGGAGCGTTTAATGCGTTTACTCGAGGAATACATTCAAATTCGTGAGCACTTTCTGTAGCTAGAAGGTAGAACGTTGACTCTCGCGTTATTATGGCATCGTTGTTGAAAATGCAAAGACACCCCGTGGTATTGTGTGTGTTGCCACGCTTGGAAGAAACAGGTGGAACTGACAAACTGTCAAACTGCGAATCTCAAAGGATGTCAAACTGTCAGATTCTACTTACGTAATTTTGAAATGAAAATAACCCTTTTTATTGTGAAAGCATAATAAATGACGGAAACCGTCGTCTGGCGATCAGTAGTTAGAACTACCGTAGGGGTATTTTGAAAATAAAAAATATGAAGTTACTTCGTTTCGAAATGGATGATTTCTGGTACAGTGATTAATTGCATGTCAGTGAACAAGAAAAATATATTGCCAAACGTTTTGGGCGGAACATAAGGTGGTAAATAAATAAAACAATGAAACTTCGTATGCGTTTTGTAAAAGAGGTTATTTCGGTTCAAAATGTCGAGTAAAATCGTCACTGGCTCTTAGGGCGTGTAAAGTATGTGTTTGTCACGGATCCTGTCCTCCAGGTTGCGACCAACCGTGTCCATCGAGTTGCCGCAAACGTTCTCCCTCGGTTGCTGACGAATTACAACCTCCCCTGGTATTATTAATTTCCTACATTCGCGGGTTAGGTAAATTCCTGTTGCAACTTAATTATCAATTACGACAGTTGCCGGTTGATTCATGTTTGCTTCGCGTGACACGTGCCCCGACGTGCCGCGCGACTTTGAATTAAAACTCCGCGATTACACGTACGAGTCACACGCACGCACGACTTGGTTACACGTGTACACGGAGACAAACGTACACGTACGCGCATCGAGGAGTTGGTGGCTGAATGAAAGTAGAGCCGAATTCGCGTGATCGCTAATTGTGAATGTAGGTCGCTTTGTGACGAGTCCCCGTACTCCGTGCTCGCCCCGCATATTCGAGTCAGCCAGATTTTGTACTCATTGTCAGAAGTAAAGACCCCCTCGACACTTGTTGCTCGCCATCGACATTTGTCTGCGCCCGCCGTTATATACCGTGAACATTTCGCTTTCGTGGTTGCATTCTTTGTCAAGTTACACGTGTACAACCGGCACGTACACGCTGCGAACCGAGACTTCATAATGCCTGTGAGCCAGGTATTGCGTTTCCTCCAGTTCCGCGGCGGCGTCGACGGATGCCCAGGAATGCTCGCGACGACCGTGACGCGTACTGGGTGGTCCGTGATACGCGGTGCTGCAGTGATAGAATTGTCACTTGCAGACGACGGAATAAGTTGGCGAAGACGTTCGTCTTATGCGACATTTTGGTGCGATACTTCAACCGCTGAAATGTTTGGAAATAAAAATGTATAAATTTGCGTGGGTGTGTAAATTGAATATGTATTTGGAGTGTGTAAGTTAAAAGAGAGATTTTATATTAGGGTATGTATTAATACAGGCTAGGTTCAGATATTGGGGGGATAGAGGGTACGGGGCTCTGATACAGGGGGGTTAGAGGGGTACTGGACTTCACTATAGGGGGCCAGAGGGGTACTGGGCTCCACTATAGAGGGTTACAGGGGTACTGGGCTCCACTGTAGGGGGCTAAATGGGTACTGGGCTCCAATATAGGGGGCTAGAATGGTACTGGACTTCACTATAGGGGGCCAGAGGGGTACTGGGCTCCATTATAGGGGGCCAGAATGGTACTGGATTTCACTATAGGGGGCCAGAGGGGTACTGGGCTCCACTATAGGGGGCTAGAGTGGTGCTGGGCTCCACTATAGGGGGTTACATGGGTACTGGGCTCCACTATAGGAGGCTACAGGGGTACTGGGCTCCACTATAGAGGGCTACAGGGGTACTAAGCTTCACTATAGGGGGTTAGAGGGTACTGAGGCCTACATACAGAATGGTTGCAGAGTACTAAGCTATGATACAGGAGGTTAGAGACTACTAAGCTTAGATATGGGGAGCCAGAGAGTACTGAGCTTTGATACAGGGGGGCTAGAGGGTACCGGGCCTTGAACCTGCCATTAATGGTGCCAATAGTTTATTGAGGCCCACTGGTCTCTCTACAGCTCGGAATTGCTGTCGCTAGTCCCGTACTGTAGCTACAATCAGTTACAGCCCCTGAGGGCGTAACGAAAATGCGTGTGAGGTGTCCTTACGCGACAGCCGATCGAACTGCCTTGCCATCTGCCTGAGCATCGGATTATGTAAGACACCGTAGGAGTTTTAATGGGTAACTCCCAGCTGCTTGAGTGGTGCGGAGAATCCCACACAATCCACAGCCCTCCCCGAACGACACTTCTACTTACTATCTGCGTTCCTAAAATATTTTATCCCTGATCCAAAATAAAACAGTCTGTCTATATATTTACAATTTAAAATTAGCCAGTAGCGGTTAAATTGTAGAATGTATAAACGATACGTAATGGAGCAAGTACATTACCATTTTTAATCTCTTCGGAATAATTTGCGATGGATGTTGACGATTCCATGGGCGATTCGAAAATGAACCAATTAATCACTTTCGTCGCGCCCACGTGTGTTTACTTTAAAATTGAGCGATACATTCTGTTTGAATTTTCTGGAACGATAACGTTCATACACGGTGGCGCGCGTAATCGAATAAAAATGTTTGGACTTCTTTGAAAATACCAGACACTTGTAAATGTAATCACGGAAAGCGTAGTTCGAGAGGAGCGTTTCGAACAGCCGCGAAGTTTACACGAACTAGTCCGCTTATTTAACTGTAGCAAACGTAATTCAGAAAATACCTCTCTGCGTAGTTTTAGTTTCGAGTTGTTTTTTGAATTTAATTAATTATCTCGGGACAAAATTTAGACTGCAAACATGTTTCACCGTCTTAAGAAATATATTGGTTACTCATATGTATTGGATTGAAAATAATTTCTGTTTACGAAATTTTCGTTTAACACCATCGAATTTCCTGGAAAAATTTCCCATCCAATTTTTGATGAATTATATTTTTAGGATTAAAGAGCGTCAACGAAAACGAAAGTGCACTCGACGACTCCACTATACATGGTACATTAGTTTGAAAACGAGCCAGAAATTTGCTCCGGTGCAACGTGGAGAAGGAAAGAAAAATGCCAACGGCGACGTAACTTCATTTGCATTACTAATGTATCGTCGCTGTCGAAAGAAATCCACCGAAGCGAGAGAGCAAACAGTTTTTCAACCCCCTTGGTACACAAATTCCGAAAAGCCTTTAAACTCTGTTTTCCACGGCCAAGAAACCACCATCTGCATAATTACATTCATCAAAATGTTCCTTTCTACCAACAGACTTTCCGATGTATAATTTAGAAAATTTTTATTCTCTTCCCATACGTATGCAAAATAATGTATAGACTCGTTCAATTTGTTTTAGAAGTACACTCGTTCCCGTTCATAAAAAAACCTAACACTGTTAACAATTTAACAGTGTTGTTACACTATAAAATAATTTGTTCACTATTTTAAGAGTCAATGGGCACGACGAATAATATTTTTATTCGTACCACATAACGCGTTTCCAAAGGCGCGACATCGTTCTAATCACGTGCCGTCACGTTGTCGATATTTGGTGATATATTTCCAGCAAGATAGGAGAAAATGTAGGTCCGTTCCGAGCGGTAGAAACAGATGACAGTATATTGCCTTTAGGGCAATAATCCATTGTCGTTGCTTCGTTACAGAGCGGGTTATTGCCGCTAAGATAAGAATCCTCTTCTCGCTTTTACAGTTTATTGAACACCAGGGATACGCTGCTGTTTATTTCATCGCTGAAGATGGATTCGCTGGGGCAAACGAGAAAAATGCGCCTCTCGGTGTTCCTTCGATGACTTTACCTTACCTCCGCTGTTTTAAGTCTTAAGGATTTATAGGGAGGGGATTCGGGAGCGTCTCGGGGCATCTTGAACCGAGGATTGCAACTGGAGACGTTTTTCATGACATTGTGAGTTTCTATCACCGTTCGTATAAATATTTTGCTGATCCTCGGTTGTCAACATAAAGACCCATCAGAGCCATGTGACATCGTATGTCTTCCCTTAAGATAATCGCAGTATATTCAGTGGGTGTAGACTTGTGTGACCTTATGTTGGTTAGAGTTTATTTCAATACTTGGTAGACGAACAAATATTCGTTTGTACGAACAAAATCATGCTCGGCTTCGGATATACTCTAGCCTTCTGTACCTAAGCTCAGTATCCTCTAGCCCTCTGTATCGAAGCTTAGTACCCTATAGACCCCATGAATCTAGGTCTCGGTACTCTCTGGCCCCCTATAGGGAAGCTAGGAACCGCTGGCACTCCTGTATCTGAGCCCAGTACACTCTAGCCCCCTGTACCTAAGCTCAGTATCCTCTAGGTCCAAGTACCTGAGCTTAGTACTCTCTATCCCTCCTGTATTTAAGCTCAATACTCTCTAGTATCCTTCTGTATCTAAGCTTAGTACCGTCTAGCCCCCAGTAGCTGAGCTCAGTACTCTCTGTCCCCTCTGTATCTAAGCTCAGTACCCTCTAGCCTTCTGTACCTAAGCTCGGTACACTCTATCCCTCCTGTATCTGAGCTCAGTACCCTCTACCCTCCCTATATGTAACCCGAATACCCTCTAGCCCCCCTGTATCTGAGTCCAGTGCCCTCTACCCCCAGTATTTGTGTCCAGTACTAACCAGATCTAAATTAAAATTAGACCAAAGTAGATCTACATAGACTTTAATAACATCAGAACCGAATCAATAGTTTCAGTATTACTCGCGATAATTTTGGATAGAAGCATGGAATCATACATGACTCTGCTCCTTATACATATGTGGACATGCACATCCGTTTACAGTATTTTGAAACATCATCTTGACGATGTTGTTGGAGATGGACAGTGCATCAATAAAAACTGATTAGTGGATAATAATAACGGTGGAGAAACCTGGTTTTTCCAGTTCACGTGAATTTTAGTTAAACAAAAAAAAAGAAAAAAAAAGATGCAATGTGCTTTCGCACTTGGGTCGATGTAATTAAACGATCGATCGGTCCAGGATTAGACGAGGTTAACTATGACGTTTTCCCGGTAAAAATAACTGGAATTATAGTTCCAGGACGAATCAATGTTCTAAATCTTGATCTGTCTCTTCTTAAAGTTGATTAAATAAACTGCGTAAACAATCAACAGACGCGAAGCTTCAGATAGGGACATTCCTCGTTAAAACGTCTCGAGGGCACTCGAATTTGATCGCTTTAACGAGGACCTTTACTACACAACAATACTACCCAAAAGACACACGATAACAAAAAAAAGGAAAAATATATTTTTTTAAACATAGAAAACGCTGTAGACGATTTTCTTTCATAACCGAAAGTACCAGAAACTATTCATTCGATATTTCCACGTTCCAGTTCTCAACCGCTGCGGACCCAACAAGCAAAAAAAAAAAAAAAAAAAAATCCAAACATGCAAAAACAAAAAGAAGAGAAAAATCCATCCATTCCGAAAGTTGATTTAAACGCTCCCCTGTCGAGCGTGGCCGAGTTGGGAAAAAAAGAGTACGAGAAACGGAACGGAAGAATTACTTCATTCGATTCGACGAATGACTAAATACAACCGCACGAGGTAGCTCGGATAGGAGGAAACAGACGTGGAGGGGGGACGTGACACGAAAACGAATCCGTCTCTGCTGGTGGCTGGTCAAATAGCGGATATATGTATTTTTCTTTTTTTAAATCCAAAGCCAATATCTCCGTCGTGGTGATTTCTGCATAGTGGCGGAGCCGCGACGTCGGACAGCATCGATAACCCATAATCATTGACGTGTCTCGTCTCGCGGCCGCCCCGGAGGCGTGCACGGCATGAATAAAACAAACATAAGTTTCGCAGTGAATTCAATATCCTCGTTGAGGATGGGACGGCGGGGAGGGACGCCGAAACTGCCGCGGGGGGGAGGGCAATCAGTCGCATCCGCGTGCACGGTCGCATTGGGGATGCAGATCCGGAAACGGTCCGGACCGGACACGGTTGAGATATGGCTGGTGGCTATTAAAATAATTTAATATTCGAACATTTCATAGGTTACGCGTTTTACGAATGAACGTCGAGCAGTATTCGAATATAGTTATGCAAAAATCACTGTTCAAATGTAACGAACTTCCAGTCCTAATCACTAGTGCATAAGTGTGGTATAAGTTATTTATCAATAATTTATATCATGAATACACGAAATTCACATTCTACTCGTAACGTCGTTCAAGCACGACGAAATATTCAAATATCACATGAATCCAGAAAGCAGAAAATCAACGGGTCTTCCAATAATTTATTCGTTCTGCGCGTTCGTATATTCAAATCCAGAAACATTCTACCGATAGTCCGAGCCCTAGGTCGGAGTTCCACTTTCCAGCTGTCTCTGTGTCCAACCCTTTCCCCTTCCACACCCCCACCCTACCTTTCAGCCGTTCTACGCCTCGCGCCACGCGTCGGAATCGCAGGAACGACGGCGACGTGGCGAGGGGAGGCACAGAGAGCGGCGTTTCGGGCAATGCCGCTTTGAAAATCGATAAGCGGCTCCGCATAGTCGACCAGTCAGGAGCTTTTCGGCGTATCCGCGCGAGATCCTGGTCGGTCACGTGGCCGGACCGACACGTCCGTTGAACGCCAACGGCGGAGGATCGCGCGACGTGGTCGCCCGCCGTTATCGCCAGTCGCAATCTGCGAAATCGACCTTTGTCCGAGAAATCGCGACTCCCGGCTTGAGGGCGACCCAAATGTCCGATAAAGGGGGAGGGCGTAATCCTGGCCGATGATTGATCGAACCAACCCCATTAACCCTTTATTGCGCGAAACTTATTTTATCTGTCGAAAGGGAACATTCACACGTCAATTAATTAATTAACGGTGTAATCCACAGGGGTACTGGACGAGTGGAGGACATACCAAGGTCGCATTATGGTTTGATGGTCTCTTCAATAACGAACCTAATGTTACTTGTAATTCTTCAAGGTCAACAGTGGTAGAGAGAATCAGAGCCATTCCTCGTTAAAATGTCTCGAGTGCACTGGACGTTGAACGCTTTAAAGAGGGATCACTCTGTAGAAGAATAATATCCAAAGGACACTCGGAGAAAAAAGGTACAAGGACGTATGTACACGGTGAAGTACGTGTGAAATATGGAAAAGGGTGGCTGGTTATTAACGTAAGGGTTAATCGGTTAGGGTGGGAAGAGCGATCGGATGGATAGAACGACAGCCGGGAATCGTGATCGAGCGAGGAATTTCGGGTGGCACGGTGACTCGATAACCATCGCTGCCCATTGATTATCCCCGCGCCGGGGGTAGGGTCAAACATCTCGAAAAGGTCGATTCATTAGGGATCGCGCTGGCCCCGGTGGAAGGAAAGAGGGCTCCTATAACCGGTACAGATGTATCGCTCCCCGAAGGAACGCTCCGTCCTTGCCACGTCCTGGCATGTGCGCAGACGTCCTACGTCGCTTCGCGACGAGGAAGCCCGAGTGGAAGAGCGCGGAGGCGCGAAACGCTCGTTCCGCCGTGTCCGGAAGCATCGATGTGGCCGAACGGCGAGGAGGGCCACCCGATACGGGAGCAAACGAGTGCAACGCACTTGGCCAGAGGAGGACACCTGGCGAAACGAGAGAGGAAAGGACAGGAGTCGCGCATGCGTGTCGTAGGCGGCGCCTGAAAGGCCTGACGGAGATCTAGATGGAGTACAGATCGGGTGGGAGTGAGAGAGAGAGGTAGGAGGAACGTACACAGCGGCCTCGTAGGGCAGTCGTTCCTCCTTCGTCGTTCCTTCGCGAGGCGCGGGCCGCGCTTTTAACGAAATTATTCCGTGGGAGAAAAAAGCTCTCTCGGCCCCTGGGCCAAGAGCCCCCCGACACTCGCCACAGGCGTGCCCACGTCTATCGTCTGGAGTTCTCGGTTGCGTGCTGCCCTGTCATAGGTGCGAGTGCCCAGGTGGAAAAGCGCGTGAAGGAGTCGGAAGTGGGGAAGAGACGCGACATAGTCCTGGTCGTCGTCCGCGGTCAGTATCGGCCAGGATCGAAGACTTCCGCTGAGCAACAGACTCCGAGGGACTCCAGAGGACTCTGGGGATCCTCCGCCTCGCGTAAAGGGTCAGTACCGACCAAACTCGAGGACTTATCCCCCCCCGGCTGGAACGCAAGACGAGTTCAGTAAAATAGACGCGAACCGCGGGGCTTCCAGAGGACTCTGGGTATCCTCCGTCTAGCCTCCACGGGTAGTGTCGAGCGTTTCTACTGGGTGGAACGCGAAGCAAACTCCAAGCAACAGATTCCGAAGGACTCCAGAAGACTCTGGGGGATCCTCGACCCGCGCCCACGGTCAGTATCGAAGACATCGCTCGAGTGGAACGCGAGCGGAACACAGAGCAACGGACCCAAAGTCTCGAGGACTCCGGAGAACTCTGGGGATCCGACGTCTTGCGTACACGGTCGGTATCGCTCGAAATCGGGGACTCCCCGGGTAGGAACGCGAGGCGGTCTCGGTGCAAAGAACCCCAAAGTCTGGGGGACTCCGGTGGATCCTCCGCCTGGCGTCCACGCGATCGCCGTTTATTGATTTCCGCAGGAGCCTAACCCGTTTCGCTCGTCACGCGAAATTTCGGCCGCACAACATCGCGCGTTTCGCCGATCGATTCCGCACGCTCGTCCTCCCACCAGTCTCGCCCGCGGCCGACCCTACGCTCGCCTCTGTCTCTCCTCTCGGCGCTCACGCTTTTTTCTCCGCCCTCGCTCGCGACTCTGCCACGAACGCCACCCGTCAGATCGGCTGGTGGACGGATCAATCCTCCAAGAGGACGATCCTCCCGCTGAATCCTAGCGATCGAACGTCGCGACCGACCAGAGGATCCCTGGCTGTGGGACGCGTACCGCGAGTGTGTGAACGAGATGTGGACGGTTCAGTCGCGTAGTGTCGCTTGAGTCCTCTGACGTCCTCGCTTGGTCGTGCAGTTGGCCCTCCCCCCTCCGGAAGGATAAGGGATCGTGTCGAAACGGAGTTGTCGAACCGTTCCGGACGCTTTCTATGAAACGGGTCGACGCAGGAGGTGACTCGCCGAGAACCGTAAGTCGAGTCGTTGCACTCTAAGGAATGCTCTTTCGCACTTACGATGAGAGCGGCTTCGGTCGGGTAGGTAGCATCGTCCTGTTACGTCGTGGAGGGTACAGCTTTCCAAACCTAGAACCCGAGGAGCTGAAGCGTCTTCGAGAGATACTACTGTTGTGGTGATAGTCCTGTCAGTCATTAATCCAGTGAACCTTCTTCAGAGACTACAGAGTCTCGTGTTAAAGTACTTTCCTGAGTACTGATAAAATAAGGAGGATAGAGTGTTGGCGAGTGATGGCCACGTTGTGACAGGTATCTGTATTCATCCTTTTATGATAGCAATCTTGTTAGTCGAGGATGTATCATGAAATCTTGACAAGTAGTGAAGTATTTTCAATAATTCTGGTCTTCCTATTCTTATGATAGGAAGCCTATTAGTCATCAGATTGTGACGCCAAGTCTTAACCAGCGCTTGAACGTGTCTCGAAGGTTCTGATACTTCATTCGCGTCCAATCTTTTTGCTGTGATAACAATCCTACCCATGAATCTAAATTCCATTTATTGTAGCGATTCTATTACTTGATGTGGGGACATTTTTGTTTAAGCCTTTTTCAAAAACTAATCAGTAAATCTACTTTTGAACCAGGGATTAGTACAGGTAAAGCAAATAGCTAGAGCGTTCCTGGGTTATGTCTACGAAGTGAAAAGATCCAGTTTTCCTCCTTTTATGATAGCAATACTGGCAGTGGTCTATCCAGAGGCATTCTCCTCCATAATTCTTTGCAGGACTAGAGTGTTATAAAATTAGTTAAACGCAATAGTACTCCTACCAGGTTGTAGTCTATATGACACAGAATACTCGATAGTAAATCTTTCAAAATTGTTCATACACATAGAGCAATCTTCCTAGACGCCATACCATGAGACAGTTCACATGCCTTCTTGAACAACAGTAGAGTTCAAACATCGAAAGAGTAGTCCTAGGTCTCTCAGACGGTTTTTTGAGTCCATCGACACAAAGGTCCCATTACCTCCAAAGTTACCAATCATGTCCCACGATTGCTTACAAAGAACCCAACTGCATGTCGATATACGATGAGAACTAGACCCCAAGACTCCCCCAACTCAAAGCCTCTCCACATGCGGGGAACTTTGACGCGTCGGTAGCGGAATGGTCGAGTGCAACGGAACAAGTCTCGCGAGTTGTGAAAGAAAAACGCGGAGGTGAGAGCCGAGTCATCGTGCCGGGGACAAGGAGGGCTCTCGTCTCTTCTGTGTAGGTTGGAGACACTTTCGCGAGATCGGATCTACCGTATCGATCGATCGACCGCCGAAGGGACTCCACTCGAGTTTTCCTGACCTAAGAATACCACTGCTTCGAGTGCCGTGGAACGGGGTGGAGTGGCATTCATAGGGTGGGGGATCGAGTGGGGAACCCCCACCTCCTTTCGAGCGTCCTACCCGACGACGATGACTGCGGATTTGTCTTTTCTTTCTCGTCCAAGCTGCTCCTCTTATCGCCAGCGACACGCGTCGCCTCTCGAGGAGCCAACAGGGTTCAGTAGCCTCTGCGATCCCTAGCTCGGCGGAGATCCTCGAGTCGGAACGCTCGCGTGACGCTAGTTAATTAAAAGTCCTTTCTACACGGGGTGCTTTGACATTCCGGCCCGTGGATCGATTGTTATCGTTCCTCTTCCATTCCTGAACGGTTCGACGATCGCGATCGCCGATTGCTGGATTCTATCAAATTCGCGAGCGTGCTGAGAGAGGGGACAGAATTGGTCACCACGTGGCGGAGTTGGGCAGTGATTACCCCGGCGATTAATTTTGCGATAATTATTCGCAGTTGTCAGGTTGATCGGTGGTCGAAAGCTACATTGGTAACGTGTAATCGCGAATCAGTAGTTTGTGATCATTCAGGGCTGATCTTGTCTGACTATTCATTAATCATGGCTACTGATTGCTGGCTATTTAAATCACCATTGGAAAGTTTTGCCTGTGTTAACGTTACGTTTTTATTTATTTATACCTCTTTGAGCCATGCCACGGTTAACTTCTCAGAAAGAAAATCGTATTAGATACACGGATTCATTAATCGTGACTGATCACAGGATCACGCATTGTCCGACACCGCTGCGTGGGAGGACGACGAGCATGGATCGCGTATGGATCAACTGGTAACTTTTATTTTTCCTGTATGTGCTTTGTAGAATCGAGACGAATGATGTACAATTGACGAAGACTGCGCAGCGCTAGGAATGGCCCCATTCAGTTCCGTCTTCCTGGGCGTCTGGGGAGTGTTTGTTATCGTTTTGATACAAGGTATTACGACGCGGCCGTGTAGAGGCGCCAGTGGTTCTTAACCTGACAGGTTTTAACGTTACTTTTTCCACCTCGGGATTAAGCAGAGACGTCGAGCGAGCTATTATTGTTCTCGGTAGAAGGAAAAGTGTGTAACGAAGACGAGTGGCTCGTTATTCGGCGAAGTGTGGCCAAATATCCTTGCTACTCGACCCGGGAACTGGTTCTAGGTTAAGGACTGCTGTTGCATAAATGACATCGCGCGGATTCTTGATAATGAACTATTTGCAGAAGCTAGGCCCGTCAGCTGGGAGGAATGGTGGACCTATGACGGTATTTCCGGTAAGGAATTCTACTATGCGAATCGCTCCTTATCTGCGCGAAGAAAAGATTCCTTTGCTATGGGAAAATATAAGTGACATTCCGTGGGCTCACAATTTTCTATTCGAAGTTCTGTGTACATTTTTGTGATATTCGACTGTTAATATTCGAACACTCTGATTTTCTTCATACCATTTCAATGCACCTCATGCATTCGAACAGTCCAGACTCCAGCTCGCGACTAACATCGCCCTTTTTTCGCGAAAAGAACAGAGAAAAATACTTTTTATTCCTGGCGCTAATCGTCAGAGAGCCTAGCCGTTCCATTTAAATGGTTAAAAGAGCAGGAATCCCCGTTTCTGATCCAAAAAGTACCCGACTAAGACGTCAAGCTTGTTCGCGAGTGCTTAATTTTATAAAACGATAAACCCGTTAGCACTCGACTCTGCTACGATCCCTGAATAATTTCATACCCCGGCTAATCCCCCTGGCTTAGCGTAGCGGGAACTTCGTTTCGAACTTGTTACCAGTCTCGAGGGTCGGGTTAATCGATGCCCGAAAGCCTCGTTCGAGTATCTAATCGTCTCGATTTCGAAGGTCCCGGCTTCTGGGGTCTCATCAATCCCGAGTGGTGGCTCTGCCACAAAGGCAGACGCCAATCGCCGGTGAACCTCGAGCCTTCCAGGCTTCTCTTCGACCCGAACCTTCAGCCCCTGAATCTGGACAAGCACAAGGTCAGCGGGGTCCTCGCGAACACCGGCCACAGCGTGGTCTTCGCCGTGAACGACAACGACACGCGTCATCCCGTCAACATCTCTGGCGGGCCCCTCAGCTACCGTTACCAGTTCCACGAGATCCATCTGCACTTTGGCCTGGACGATCGGACTGGTAGCGAGCACACGGTGGATGGACACGCGTTTCCTGCAGAGGTAGGCCTTTGCATTGCTTTGCTTTTTCTTTATTATAGTGTAGTCATATCTGACTGTTTTCACTTTTCCTGTGAATACATATTTTACATTGCTATCATCTTATTCTCTTTAATACCCTTTCTCGCTAGAGATTCATTTAAATTATAATGGTTTGCCCTTATACGGGAAATAGACCTGATCGCCTCCCTGCTCAGGATGCGTTTAAGTTTATAACTTCTTATCTCTTTGTCGCATGACAACTCATCTCTTTGGAGGCCTGCTGGCTCCCCTCTAGTTAGTGTACCTCGGGGTTGGTAAGCCCATACTGTAGCTTACAAAAACACCGCTACAGCTCCTGAGGGCCAGAGGTAAATCTTTCCTTCTTGGTCTTTGAGTTGCGACTTTCTGGAACAATAGAAACATTGGTATTGGTTAATAATAATTGTAGCTGATACTTTTACAGATTAGGTAGAGTATTTTTTTAGCTGGAGCATAGAAAGTAACTGAATACAATTTCATCTGGATCGAGCAAGAGTTGTAGAAGTGAATCATAAAGAAACCAATTCTGAAATTTGTATTATTGGAAATAGTCTGAAATTACTGTTTTATCGATTTCATTAAGTTCACATTACCAGGTCATAAAATACTTCTAGTTTTTGTGTTTATTACCGTGTAAAATGGCTCGTTTCATAAAAGAAGAGTCGTAAAGGGAAATAATTCTCGTTTCAACTTTTGTTCAATTCGAAAGGCAGTTTTCCAATACCGCTGTCTCTTAAATGTCTTCCCCCGGGAACGAAGACAGTTTTATTAACAGTTTCTCCGAGCCGCATATTAATTTCCACCGCTTGAATTCAATTCGGTTTATTTAGCTACAACCCTCAGACATTCATTGGTACAAATTTTGTTCGTAAAATGTAAATATCGATTATTTAGATTTTTAAATTAAATTCTTGTGGAAATTATTGCGTTTGTTAATCCAATCGACGAATTCAGCTTTAATTTCACTACAGACGATATTAATTTGACTTCTTCTCCGAATTGCGGAGTGCTTGTCTGATCATTGATTTTCTCATTCCACTTGAGTTCCTATACAGACACTCTACCTAGATGTTTCCATTTGCTGACACAGACAGCGATTTAATCAGTACTTCCCTGTAATCCAAAATAAATCTAAGTTAAGAAATAAAGAGGAATCAAAGGAAATGAAATCAGAGAAATCATACGAACTCTTCGCTTTGTTACCTTTACTTGCCACGGTGGCGTGATTTAAACTGATTAACGTTGAAATCGTTACTTTCGACTTTTCCTAAACTGAAGTATTCATCCCTTAACTGGGTCAGAACACTCAACTGGGTTACTAGTATAGAATCGCGATATACATGCCGGGAAATATATAGCTTTTAACAGTTTGCGGGTTACTAAGTGGAGAGTACATTCACGAGGAAAGTTAAATAAATTGGAAATTTTAAAAAATTACGAAACTTTTGAAGTGCATCGAGTTTGTTATATCGCGTAATATTGAACTTTTCGCCGCAAATTTATTCAATGTCCGAGAGAAATAATTTGTTTGAATATTGTCTGTCAATACGAAAAAGAAAATCTGAAAATTGGAGATACTTATTTTTATACGGTAACCTTTTTTTTTGTAGCCGTCGAGGTTTCAGAATTTTTTAATATTTGGGTCGAGTGGTTTTCTTTACAAGTATTAAAATAACCGTGAAACTGCACGGGCTAAAATAATGTGGACCTTTAACAACAGGTCGTTATAACGGAAAGCCTCCAGTGGAGATTTTATACGCTTCGCGGCGAGAAAATTTGAAATTGGTGTTCCCGATGTGTCAGGGATATTGGAACAAAATTGAACAATAAAAGATAAACCATTCGCGATGGCTTTATCCATTCCGACGCGTTTTTAATTTGTCCATTGAACACGCAAAATATCATCCACGAACAATCCAATTTCCGGCAGGCAATATTTTAAACATCAATTTCTAGTTTATTATTTCACAGGAGTTAACTTCTGCTCCGATAATTTTTGGGATAAATACTGCGGTTTCGCTAGGACACTATATAATGGATTATTCAGACCATTTATTTTAAGTCTTTTAACGCTGAAACAATCCAATCCACATATTCTTTACTCTTTTACGCTGAAACGTACGACTTTGACACTCGTTAACCTGAGGAACCAGTAGAGGACCCTTTGACTATTAAACTTACAGCCCATGAATTGGTCCCGTGACCTAGACCACTCACTCTCGCTACAATTACCAGAAATGGGATAACCCTCCCACATAAAATTTGTATGAAACAGCAACATCAGAGAATAGGAATCTGTCGATGGACATGGTGGCTCGATTGGTCGGACCACCGGTCGCGGTCCAGCGACCGTCTGGGTTCGAGTTTCGCTTCCGGCACGCCTATCGACCGACTCTTTTTCTCCCTGTTGTCCCCGGGGCTGGCGAATACTTTGCTAACGCGATCTCGCATTTCTGTCCCGCAGCTGCAAATATTCGGATTCAACTCGCTGCTCTACAACAACTTCTCGGACGCCCTGCACAGGGCGCAGGGCATCGTCGCCGTGTCGCTGCTCCTCCAGGTACATGCCTAATCTCTTTGCCCGTATACCGAGCCACCCCTCGAAAGATCGAATCGCCGGCGATAGATCGGAGTAAGCGATACGTCATAGATACCCTCTCCGTTGGCTTTTCAGGTGGGGGATCGCTCGAACCCGGAGCTGCGAATATTCACCGAACAGCTGGATAATATCAAATACGAAGGTGAGAGCACGAGTAGTTTAATACCGAACTTAGAGAAAGCCCGCACGCCATTCGCGTGCCAGACAGACTCGAGTTTCACGAGTTTCTGTCGAGATACTCGCGACTATATCGCGATTGCCGAGAGCAGGGACGCCCGAAAGAAAGGAATCAGCTCCGGCTCCGCGTAGGGCGAAATTAGGTAACTGGTCTGATGAGATCTGCTTGATTAAGGGGAGAAGGGGGCGTCTTGCGCCGTTCAGGGATGTTGATATGCGTGGAATCTATTTAAACTCAACGTCGACGCCGACGTAGGATGTAAAATCCGTTGCCAAACTTTTTGTGGGAACTCTTTCACGAATTAGTGAACATTCGGTCTAATTAACATTCGGTTATGTTTATTTGAAACGAGTAATTCATGCCCGAAGAGGCTGACAATATTAGTGTCTCAGTTAAGGCGCCGTAAGTTGCTTTGCCGTGGAATTATTTAAAAATGGGGTCAAACTTTTTATCGTATTTTAGAGTTGGGATTCTTTATGTAGGGCGAGCCACATAAAGTGTCGCCGGCTGATGGCGACGAAATTCGTCTTTGATATCTTATGGTTCTCTCAGGTCCTTTATGTGACATATGTGATACCGCTATGAGGTCAGCCCCAGAGGGCTGTACTGTCAGCCCCCTCATTTTTTCCAACGCCGTGACATCTAATATTTCGCAATTTCGGATCGAGGTTCCGCCGGTGGAAAAATACTTCTCGTCGTATTTCCCTAGCTACGCGAAACGTTAGAAATTGTCTCGAATGAATGCGGTGATAACTTCCCCGTAAATATTTCTGCAGCGAATAACCGTTGCTATAATAATCCCGTGCCATGTTTGTTTTCACAAGTCGATACGTAAATATTTGTAGACTCGGGCGCGAAAAGTCTGAAACGAACGAGTGCTGTATCAGTTACGACGCTTGGCGAGAACACCCTGGGTCATATTGATTTCATCCGACCAGCCGAGGGTTAGGTCGGTTAAACGATCCTGAAGGTTTTCGAATATTTATAGATGCGATATTCGCCAAACATTTCGATTTTCATATTGTTACTAGAATGCGCTCGAACATTCTAGGTACTTGCGTCTATAAATAAATGAAAATTTCAGGTTCAGACGTACCTGAACAGAGTGGTAGATAGACACAAGCCTGAGAATAAGGGTGGAAGTAGAAGTTTTTAAAGAGGAAACTGAATGTTGCCAAGTTGGGGCGTTTCCAGATATTAAATTCCACTTGGAGTATTATTAATTTAATTTAAAAATTGTTCTTTATACAATCGCGTCGGTATTTAAGTTGCTGCGAGGAATCTGACATTAATTACAGGTAATGGGTTCCAACCTCTTTATTCTTCGAGAAAAACTGCTTATGGGCAAATAAAACTGAAGAGAAGAATCGCCTCTCCTTACTGATAGCGATAAACAGATTTCAACCACAGCGTGTAAAAATTAGGATCTCTGCAGATCATAAGTCCAAGGCCACAATTTCATCACACTTTGGAACGGTTCCGAGTCAACCAAGTTCTACAAAAATCGGAGATAGCCTCCCACTGTTAATCCCTACAAAATATGGTCCAGAACTTATGATTGGCAGCCTACGCTAGCTAGGGAAATCCCCAACAGTCGCCTCGATCTCTCAAACACGCGTAACCCAATCTGCGAGCGGAGGTACGCCAGAAAGTTACCTAAAGCAACGGAGATGCCGGTAGGCAGGTGCACGGGTCGCCGTTGACTCCTGCCTCGATCGCGACACGGTTATGCACGTGTAGACCGGAAACTCGCAAACTTGGCAGGGGTCGAAATTGCCCGTGGTCCGCGATAGCACGCGAACTTTTCTCCCAGGCATTAGCCGTTAAGTGACTGGGAACGCGGCAGCCACGTAAGGTGATCGGCGGTATTACGTTAGGTGTAGGTGGCGTGTGTACAGGTACGTCGATACTAATTGGGGTACGTATGCGCGTCACGGTGCTTGTCATGATCCCGCGATATCGATCCTAACCGATTGCACACAGGCCAGACGATGGAGATTAAGCGTTTCGTGGTGCACGAACTCCTGCCGGACACGAAATATTACATGACGTACGACGGCTCCACCACGATGCCAGCCTGCCACGAGACCACCACGTGGATCATCCTGAACAAGCCGATATACATCACGAAGCAGCAGGTGAGCATCGTCACGCTTTTCGATCAGCCGACGACATGCCAACTTAACGCCGTGCCAGACAGTCCCACTGAATATCAATCAGCCTCAACCTTGAACGATTTCTTAGAGACGGGAATCCCCGCCCCACTTTCACCACCCCTTCGGTGGTTCTCCTAAGGTGTTCGCACATACTCCTGTTTTATTAACGCGCACCTTTTATTCCTTCTCCATCTAGAGACGTTTTGACTCTTACGTTCAAAGATGTCCACCTTCGAATAGCTAAGAAATGCGCACCGAAACGAAGCCAGTGACCTCGCTAGCCTAGATTTGCATATTACCGCCTAATCAAGTACAACACAGAGGCCGTAACCCAGAAACATCTGATTTCCAAAACGCGACTAGTCACTTTCTTTGGCTCCGCCACAAAAGATTCGACGTCGAGATTCTCGCGCCTGATATCGCGTCTCCAGGGTCGTCCTTCTCTTTCGAGGCGTGGGATCGAAAATGCGGCGCCGCGGTCTGGAACTTTATTTCGTTTCGAACGGCGGCCGGGGGAAGGGATCGTATCTGGCCGGGACGACTTGAGGAATTGCAGTAACTCACGCACGAAAGTAGTTTCTGATGTTCTTTTAACGATTTCGCGTGGCCAGGGACGAGCGTAATCTCGCCGGCGTGTGGCGCACACGACCGGGCAACAAAGGAAATTGGTTTACGTGGGCTCTTTATCATCTCGAGATTACACTTTGATGACTTAATGCGTTTTCTTTCTTTCTGGACGAACCGTCCCGACGCGGTAAATCATATTGTTGGATAATAAAGCGAAGAGCTAACTTCGGACTCCTTAAGCGTATTAGATCAGCAGTGCTTAACGGGACGGGGTAACTGGTTTACGTAGACTTAAATTTTTAATCGTTCGGAAAGTTCGATTACGAGTAGAATTTTATTAAGCGTCCATTCGCTAACAATTTTATTCGGAGTGCGACGCCCTCTTCGTTTAACTGCTACTGTCAACATGGCTTAAAATCAACTACCGTTGATACAGCCTGGGTATATATGTAAAGTGATTAAATAATAACAGCCTCTTATTTATCAATCACGAGGGGATAACCGAAACTCGCGCGTAAATAGGTCCGTCCCGTATTAATTTCCGAACGAGTACTTTACGATAATTGTTTCATATAGCTCGGGAAACGCAATGATTAAATTTGAACGATTGCATCTTTGGAACGCTAAATCTGCGAATTAATTTTCCAATTATTCGGGAGGTTGAGCGAATTCACTTATGGCCGCCATTATCGCCGCCCATTACTCGCGACGACCGTTGTTAAAACACGGCAATTACACAATGGCCCTACCAATTACACCGCGAATTGTGAAAATATCTGCTCGCATTTGTTCCACTGATAGGCCAATTGTTATGGCGGCGCGGGTCACGGCTTAACACGCGAGTAATATGTTGCCTACCGCTGACTTTAGGCCTGCAGAACGATTACCCTTAATAATCCGCGTCCATTTGCAACGTAAAGTTGGGGCCATCGGACGTTGCTTGATTTCAACTAATAATTCATGGCTTTTATCGCAGCGTATCTAAATATACACATAAGTCTAATGGAGGCCAAGACACCCTTTCAGCGGTGTCCAAATAGCATCCAAGTGTTGTCTATAGTGTTTGCTACCACTAGCCAGTCATGGCGGTCTCCTTACAGTACGCGTTCGACCACGGCGCAGATGCCTGGCGCAGCTGCGGCGTGGAGAAGGGGAAGCAGCCGTGTAAGGGGCCCCTACGGTGACTAGTACTGCCTCAGACCCCATTACCGTCTCGAATGTTCTTTTCCAGAACGCACTTAACGCCACACACAATACATAGGGTCTGTTCCCTCATCACCCCGAGTAGATTATGCTTTTTCCTCAAAATGCAGCTAGAAATAGTCCATGTCTTGTTACAAAACACACCCGGCCACGCTTCCTCGCGTAACCTACGTCCTTTTGCAGTACACATTAGGGTCATCTGACACAGCTTGGGGTCTACAGACCGAACCCACGAAGTAGTCCACAGGAAATTTTGCAAAATGACCCGGTCTGTCATGTTCGGTATATAACTCCAGCGGGGAAAGAGAGAGAGAGACAGAGGGGGGAGGGGAGGTGTGGTTTAATTCGCGAACGGCCCTCCCAATTACCCCCACGTATGTAATTTTTCAAAACGCGAAAAGGGTAAGCGCTTTCACTCGGGACGTAATGAACATCCGGATGGAAATCAATCAGCTGAATGGATCGCGCGGAAAGGGCATAGGTGCACTTTCGAAAATCAAAAAAGCTGGCAACGACGTCGTCGTTTCATTTCGCGTTTTAATATTACGGGATCCACCGGTCGTGCGTTGTCCTCAGAAAAGCGGGCACAAAGCGCGGAAAGTGCGCGCGCTCTCGTGCGAAACAAAGGGAGCAAACAATATCTCGAATTCAATAACTCGGCTATCGACTTCCGTCGGAAGTACCGCCGCGTCCTTTGTCGAACGTTTAAACGATTTTAATCCGATTCCTCTTTTTTTTTTCTTTTTCGAGGTTACATTTTTCCCCGACGCGAATACGCGCCCATCCCGATTGTGATTCGTTTTGATTCGCCCAGAATAAATTACGACTACGAAATGAAATATCGCTCTGTCCGCGGAATGAAAGCGAAGAATCGTCGAACGTGGAACTCGTTTCGCGAAACGATGATCCGACGATATGAAATAAAAAGTTGCCCCGGGGGCGTTCGCGATTCAATAATTGAAAACGGTTCGCGAACGGACGAACGAAATTATACGGTAATGGTAAATTTTGCGGAATAACATGCTCGGTTCGCGAGTAACTCGGACGCGGAACCGTAGTAATTCTGGTTAATTTGGGAACGAAGAGGGAATTCGAAGGATGGCTCGACCATCGTAAATTGAATCGCCGTTCTCGTAATTCATTTTCGTTTCCATTCATAAAATTGAACGTTTTGTTTGTTTGGTTTTTGTTTTCGTGTAGAAGATATTCGATATACATCCTCGATCTTTGGGGAGACTGGGGCTGTGTGGGACTGCCCTAACTCGGTGGTTTAGGATCTTTCCATTTTCCCTTTCTGGGAACGTCAATCATACAACTTCCAGTGCAGAATTGCAAATAGTATATAGGCATGTAAGAAAACGTCGGTTGTATGTTTATGATGGGACATTATTTCGATATTACGACGTAACGAGGACTGTGATCTTTCACAGAATATAGAGAGCGCTAACAGACAGTGCTTAGTGCACAGGACTTAGGGTCTACTAAGCCAACAGTCAGTCCATGTTCATCAGGAAAATTCCACGGATCAAGCACTGTTCGGTTTCCGTTGCCAACGTCCTTTAGCAAACTCTATCAGACAGTACTCAGGGCTTCCCAACCCAGCGTCCCAAGTAGTTTCCAGAAAATTGTACGAACCTCTGTCCATGAATCTCTCTTCAACAACGACCCAGCGAGTACGAAACGTAACAATTCGAGTGGTTGGTTAATTCGCGAACGGAGAACGGACTCAAAGGCCGACTCGTCCGCAGCGAATTCAATTTTCCCGTTACATGGTTACTCTCGGAAAATTAAACAACCTGTGCACGAACGGAAACATCTCCGCTTTCTGCGTGTAAACGAGCTCGCGGCGCCGCGTGTGTAATTTTCCACGTACCGCCGCGGCATTATCGAGGTCCTGAAAAATGTTTCGCACTTAAAGAAGCGATTGTTTAGCGGGCCGCTTGGGTAAGCGTTCCAGAATTAATCTCGACGAGGTGCACGCGATTTATTCGCGAAACGAGAGGCGCGCCTTGTTCCTTGAACGTGTAAAATGTTGTTGACAAGGAAGGGGAGAGAATGACGTCAACAGATTGTCGGTGAGAGGGAAATTTCAGTGTGAATAACGGGCTGTTTCGAATACAGGATAAAATGAATTAGAGGGGACAATAGAACAGTTTTGTAGGTTTTATAGAACAAAGGGAATTTTATCGCGAATGCAACTAAATTGTGCAAACTCGCGTAGAACGGTCGCTTCGAAAATTTTCTAGTAAACAAACGCCATAAAAATTCGTGTTGGCCCGTTTTTTAACCCAAAGGTTTGGACATAAACAAGTCAAAGATGGTACTCCGGTGTCAACGACAGGCTCCGATCGAAGATTCAATGAGCACTTTCGCGAATGACATATCGCGGATACATAAATTTACAATGCATTTTAATAAATTTATCGCGGACACCTCGTTCGGTGGGTGAAGGATTATACTTGCTAAAGCGGGACGCCGAGGTTTCCGTGCATAATGTTTTTCGGGGTAAGTTACACGAGGGGCATCAAAGGGATGCAAAGTAACCAAACCACGTGTCGTTGGGTTACCCTGGCAAAAAGTCACCGTATAGGCCACCGCACGCCGACGTAAAGTGTGTCGAATGTTTGCAAGCTTATCGCACATCGTAGACTCCGTTAGAATGAAAAGAGTCGGGAAGAAGAGAGTCGAGATTAACTGGATGTCCCACGAACCTTCAAAATGAATTTTCTCGGAAACGATACCTCCCATGACGAAATTATATTCAACCTTTTCGATGGAGTTTTTTATGCTACTTAAACTGAGACACCCTGTGCATCAAACCATCACGTTTCCTTCGAATGAGAAGACAACATTCGCGGAACCAAAACTACGTCGTACTACACTTATCGTGGACTCGAGATTACTAATTACTATAAGATTTCATAGCGTTACATCACCGAGGGCGAAAGGTCGCGAGAGATTATAATATGAAGGTCGCAGCAGATCTGGCGTCTCGAGCATTTAGTGTTAGACTTAGATTCTCTTTGGAAGCGTAGAAAAAGTCTATCCGTATGGAATAATTGTAAATAAAGAAACATTCTGGTTGCAGCTTCTCGCGCTGCGGCAGCTAATGCAAGGGGACAAGAATCATCCAACCGCCCCGCTTGGAAATAATTTTCGACCGCCGCAGCCGCTTCATCATCGTCCCGTGCGAACGAACATCGACTTCAACAACGCTCCGGTACGGTGAGAACGCGCGCGTTGCGCCAGATTGCGCTCCACGTGATCGCCGACGTTTCCCTAAACTTTGTTTTGCTCCCCAGGGATCGAAAAACTGCCCGACGATGTATAGGGACGTATATTACAAAGGTACGAGGAGCTGTATACAATGGCCGCGAGGTAAAATGGGAAAAGTTCATTGAATATTCGTTGGAACTGGGTTGCGCTTCATTTAATATCGCCCTGGTATATTTCTGGCTTCGCGCGGACGACGAAAGGTCCTGGCGAAACGAGGCTGATCGAGCAGATTTTGGCATACTTTATTTACGACGTTGGAGAACTATTCTCCGGCGAATTTGTATTTTAGTCCGCGGACAAACGCGACCAAGTAATTCAACGAATGAATTTTTAACGGGTTTGTGAGAAAGGAGGGCTACGGATATAGACGTTTGCGATTTCCAGTCTGCTTTTGGAATCGGAGCAGCTCAAATTTGCAAAATAGGGAATTTTTGTCACTCTGGATTTAGTTGATAAATGATACCGTGTGAAATTAATTATATTTGAGTACGGTAGATTGAACCAGTTAGAGACAGAAGACACGGTTGTGTGAGAATGAACGCTGAGTTTGGAAGGTTGAGAAAGCCTAAGATCAACTTGACTGTTAAAAGTTGAGTTAGTTACAAGTATTCGTAATAGGGGTAAAGCTAGAATTTGTGTTAAAGGTCGAGTCATTGTTTACTATAAATGTCAAGCTGATATTTACATTAGAGGGCAGGCTAGTATTTACATCGGGGATCAAGCTAATATGGACGTTGAAGATTAAGCTAGTATTTACATAAGATAAAAACATTATGATATCTCGCCCCTTCTCAGTCGACTGCTACTAAATCAAGTTGTTTACGTTTGACCTTTTCTTGTTGGATGGCAATGAAAACCATATCGCTTCTGATATACTCTGTGACCCCAAGCGGGAGAAGTGATCCCTGTTAAAAGAAAGTAAGGATAACCTAGATCGTTTCATGAAACGTAATAACAGACTTATTTTCCTCATAAGACTTGTATCAAACTATATCTCTGCCAACTATGCCAGTATTTTATTGGACAACGTAAAAATTGTTATGATAACTCTCAATTGATCTGGAAGGGTAGTGACCTCAAGTTACTTAGTGCAGACTTGATCCTTAAAAAAGTGCTCACGTATTTGTAGTATCGCGACTCCCATGACCAAAGAATATGGTGACTGATGAAGATACGAATCATAAGAGTGCGAAAATGGTCCTGTAGATTAAGCTTTGTATTCAAGGGTCGTGGGTTCGAATCTCCGTATTTATCTTTCAGGCCCCTACATATTAATCAACACCCCGTATACAACTCCATTTCCGTCTACCGTCTACCGTTCTCGTATTCCATGAACTTGACCCGAGCCTCTAATAACGAACCGTCGAAAATAGCCAGACCCAATGTCTCGTCACTGTGTCCTTTCCGACTTCGTTGTTGCAGCAAACAGCTGGAAATAACCCTAAGAAACCGAAGGGGTCCGCCTGGCGTTCAGCAGTTAACTACGCTTTCCCTGGGACGAGCTGGAAATTCGCCGTTAAGAGAATAAAACCCATTGACATATCAATTAAAATGAAACGCGCGTGATCAGCGGGTCACCGTCGAGCCGAAACGAGCGTTGAGGTCGCGAGAGCGAGTGAGGGTGAGATAGAGAGAGAGAGAAAGAGAGAGAGAGAGAGAGAGAGAGAGAGGTGCGCAAGAGTGAGAGAGAGAGAAAGAGAGAAACAGAACACACAACAAAAAAAGAAAAAAAGAATTGAAAAATGCTTCGTTGTACTATTAGACGTGAATTGCCAAGTATGTTTCCAGTAACGAGAAAAAAAAATGAAGATATACAGAGATATATAGAGATTACAACTTAGCGGAGATAAGGTAACCGTAAGATTACACAAGATATATTATTATACGTATATCGATCAACTATCGAAAGCTATGACTATCGTGGCCTGCGTGGGAGGGGTTTCCCGGGGGAATGGGGGGCGGGGTTGGTCGGAGACGAGAGATGCGACACTATGTATAAAGATTCATGGGTGACGGTGCACACACAGACACACACATACACACTATCGAACGAAAGTTTATACTATATTCTTGTAATAAAAAGCTGAAAACGTAGAAGGAAGTACGGCATCGCAACCCTGTCTTATCTGCGTGAAAAGCGCGCCAGTAATCCTATCGATCTGTTCCGCATCCCTCACTTTAACCTGCATTACCAACCGTAGGACACCAGTCTCGAGCAACGCCAATCGCTGCGCACCGGCCGAAGTAACCGTACCGACAGAGTCACCCGAATCCTCCTTACCTGCCAGGCTCGATAAGTTAGGAACCCACTCTACGAACATTATCGACTGTCTCCACGAGTCCCTCGAATCCGCGATCGATCGAGTTATCGGCATGCTGCAGCGACAATGAAAGCCCTCCGCGTCTGCCCTGGACCCTTGGAGTCTCCGAGTCCCTACAGCCCGGGTTGGCTAGAAGGGCTACGAGTCGAAGGGTTACTCAACGCGATATTCACGTAGTGTCCCACGAGCCGGGCACGCATGTCCTGAACGGAATTCCAAGTCGCTTAGGGCCGACGTTGGAGCGGAGTCAGCGGTTACAGAGAGGTTGATGCGAGCGGAATCTCGACAAGGAGAGGACGCAGCGGGGTCGAAAAGGTTGGCGCTCTGGTGGGGGTGTCCGGGTAAGGGTGCCGGCGAACGGAATGGATTTCATTGAACCAGAATTCGACGGTGCTGCCCGCAAACGGCTATGCGGCAAGGGAGTCGAAAAGGGACAGCGATGGGTAACGAGCGAGCGAGAGGTCGGCGAATCGACGAGGAGGGAAATCTCCGATCGGAGTGGGGGCGATAGAGAGCGCGAGAGGGAGGGGGTAGCGAGAGGAACAGACACGGGGATACGTAGGCATCGTGTCGGTGGCCTCTGCGGCAAATCTGCAGGTTTCCGTGGCGTGTGTGTGGGACGATATTAATCGCGAAAATCCGTGAAACGCGAAAGCGTGACAGTGGGTGGAATCGTCGTGACCGTAGAGTTTGTCGTATGCGAACGTTCGCGACGGTTACGGGGTTGCACGCAACGGGGGATGAAAGTCTTTCAATGGAGCGGCGCGATCGCAGCATCCGCTTGTCGGGTTTCGCCACAGACGTCCAGCTCATCCACTGGGGCCAGCCAGCCGTGAGAAGGCTTCTCGTCCAGCGGGCCTCGCACGACGTGATTGATTGATCGGCCAAGAGGATAACAGAAAAGAACGTCGATGCCAGTCGACGACCTCGCGGCCCAGGTGGGGGGTGTCCTCTCGTGAGAACGGGCGAACACACGTTCACACGGTGAGACTACGCGTGGAGAGGAAGCTGACAAGTGCATCGTGCTCTTCGCAACGTTTCGTTTCTCCACGTTTCCTTGCGTATCGCCGCGAGTGAGATCTTCCCTGCGACCTGATCCCCAGTTTCCAATCGTCGCATAAACGGATGGCTCGCGAGGATTCGTCGCGAGCGTCTCCTCCTGGGGGAGAATAAACAAACGGACGGGAACCGTCCGGCAGGGGGAAAGGACAAACGATAAAAAAGGACGGAGGGTGAGACAGTGAGAGCCGCGACTCTTCTCGCGAATGAAGCAGTGCTTTCTCGTCTTTAATTTTTCAACCAGCCCGCAAGCGACGACGCGATTGGCCGGAACGCACCGACCACTCTCGACGACCAAGTACGCGTAAGCGAGTTTTGCCGCTCGAGATCGACGCCGCTCGGTGGCACGGCTCGTGGGTGTCATACGCACCACGCGCAAGGACACCGGGTGCGGATAGGGTGCCGGACGATCTTGCGTCGCGACCAATCGAGCCCGAACACCCCTAACGAACCCGAAACACACGGGTTCGCCCGTGAAAGGTTCCATTGAATTGAATTATCCGGTTGTTGCCGCCGTCGCTCCTCGGCTGTGTCTTTCGCTGCCGGGCCTCTCGAGGACTTCCTGGCGGGTGCCGCGTACGGCATCGAGGGGGATTGAAAATTATCGCCACGGCTCCGCGGCCGAGTTCGTGACTAATTTATGATCGATATAAATTTCGCGGCGCATTACGCGGGCATACCATTAGCGGCGTCAGCAATTAATATGCCTTAGTAGGCGGGCAAACCCCGCGGCCTGGAATCCTACAGGCGTTCGAGGCTCGCGCTCCACCGATTCCGCGTCGCTCGTTCGGTCGCGACGGGGTGAAAGGAAAAAGAGAAGCGTTACATAATCGGGCGATTGTTGCTCCTTTGTTGCAGATTGAACCCGACGAGGCGTGCGATCGGGAAAACTAGGCCGGCCGACGGTGAACGCGCGTGCAACGTAGGGCGCACTTAATCAGAATGAAATCTAAGAACTCGTCGACAATAGGTTCGTGATGCCCGAAGGAGAACGGTCGGCGAAATGAAAGCCCCCGAGAAACAATGGAAGCGTCCACGCAAGCATGACGGCCCCATTCAGATTCGCAGACGGCATGCTTAGTGGTGGCCGAAGGAGACGCTCAAGTAAGAATAAGCGAAGCATCCTTTTCAGAACTAGTTCCTTCGCGGTTAGGATTAAATGACAGGGCCACGACGCCTCACTCGATTGGCCTCTCAAGGTCAATTGCCTGGCCGATGGTGACGTCACGAAGTGCCTCATGCGAGACTAGGGTTTCTTTAGACCGTGGAAGACTAGGGGAATCCGTCGTGGTGTAACGGGTGATGTTGGGGCAGAATTTCGACCATTCGCAACGCGTTCAACTGACCAAAGGTTAGGGAGAGTGTCGCCTATTGACTGGTAATCAATAAACATAAACACTGGCTCATCCCGCTATCTAGGCACTGTTTACATTGTCGTGAGAACGCATTCCGTGGGAACAGATGTTTCCAGAAGTGAGCAGCGTTGCGGGAAGTGTAGATTATTCCATTTTGAACTGGTTAATCGCTCTGTTTCGTGTTATTTTTTCCCCAATTTTGAATTAAACAACCACACTGCAAACATTGGCGCGAGCGTGGACCTTTGTTTGCATATAAAATATTTTACGGTTTCATTACGACGATTATACCGTCGTTCCTCATTATGTGACTTACAAGTGAACGCATTTTCGAATTCAGATTCGTATAACAATGCTAGGTAATTGCACAAAATGAAACATCTACAATTGCGACTGGTAATTCATTGATTCCTGTGCCTTCGATTCAGCTCGCTTTTGTGCACTCCCGACTTCGCGAATACGTTACGTCAAACGTGAAATATCGTTTGAGGCATTTCAGTGTACCTGTTATAATTGCCACGTTAAATATCGTAATTATATAAACGGATTGTTGCGCAATCACGGACGCACAATTTTCGTATTTATAAATTAAAATTATATTCCATTCTCCGGGTCATATGAATCTTGTAAAATACTTGGATTATTTATCATTAAGAGAAGTTTGTTGTTCACTGTTTCACATTTCTCGTGCTACATTTTATTTTAATTCTTTTGGTACTCGTAACTTTGTTTTCATCCATCCAAAGCTTTATTTTTACATAAATAATTTTTTTCGACCGTAGATGGAAGTCTTGTGCTGAATTTTTTCATTTGGTCACTTTATTGAACAATTAAAAAATATGACACGGGCTGGAGGACATGTAAAACTACACTTACAATTCTCATTAAAAAGATCTGTCTGAACGCCCTTGTACCGATCGTAGGTTTACAACATCAGAAACGTTTATTTCTCAAGATGAAACAAATATATTTAACAACGTAGTCACCATTCGAGTTGAAATGTTCTCGTGAATGAGCCGTGAGCAAGCCTTCTAATTCTATTTAGAATTCTGTACGAAGCTCGCATACGTGTTTTCTATAGGATTCTGGAGTCTTATTGGTGCTTTTATATAGCTTCGCCGATCAGGGAAAGTCTCGTTGAAGAATTAGTTTAAATCCGGGGTGGTGGAAGTTCATGTCAGAGTGCAAGTATGCATTTTCTTTTGATCAAAAGTGATCCCTTTTATATTAATAAAGGAACACTTTAGTCCCCAGTCTATTGTAAACAAAACCGTGGCACGCCAATGACACTGATGGGCTACCTTTATCCACTGTAGGTCAGATTGAGTAAGTATAATATTGAAGAAGTAAAACAATCGATCTTAATAAAAATTAAATTGCGTCTAGAAGTTTGAGGTTCAATCAAAGTCTTTGTCAATTCCGATCGAGTCTCGATATTTGGTTGATAGATCGTTCATTATATCATCGTGGGTCACTGGTTGACCTGCGGGTGATAGGTTGCCGACCACTCAGCCTCGGTATACGTAAACAACGCCCCTGTCCAAGTAGATAAACATTGCAATAGTAGTCGACTTCTTTAGTATCAGTCGGACGAACACGACGCCGACGAAAATTCGAGACTAAATAGCGTGAACCAGTTTGCATCGCTAAGTTTCGTCGCGGACCAACTGACGTGGCAAAAAGTTCCCTCTTCTCTCCTTTAACCGTCGATAAAACGCACGAGGTAAAGTTCGTTTTACGCTCGCGTATAGGCTCGTTTTTACTGAAAAGCCGCGAATCGCGTGCCCGCAGAGCTTTCACATTTCGCAATAAAAAGACCCTTATATTTCTTTTTTATTAAGCAGTAGCTGCGACGAAAATACATGCCGGCAATGGAGACAGCGATAAACAGACCTCCCTTTTGTGATTCTTCGTTCCACTGCTCCCCGGGTCCAGGTCTTCTTTCATCGGTTTTTTCCTTCTTCTTTTTTTTTCTTTTTTGTTTCAATGTTCCACGCACACAATCGTCGCTTCGCCGACAGCGTTAAAATCGACGAGCACGTGTCACGTTTAATCATGCACCGCGCAATAACGCGTTAAGTAGCGTCGCTTACGTCGAGCGGGCGCGCATGTTAATCCGGAAATTATCACGCGTAATTTTACATGCGAAGCGCAAATGGGTTAAACGACACGGCACCCCGTGTGAAGACACAGAAGGTTTCAAAACATTTCGCGTGAATTGTGGCATTTAGTTGCCGGTAGGCACGCGCGCGCCGTAAATTCGCGGCTATTTCGGGAGTGTGTCTTCGAAACGACATTCGCTACGAGATAGATTATCCAGGGTACATCGCCGTTTTTCGTGCCGCGATGGTTCACTGTGCGAGGATTAATCCAATTTACTAATCAGTCCGGCCATTTCCGGCGAAACGAACGGAGAAGGGACATGCAAATGAACGAAAATATTAGAGGCAAGTTGCCGGGAATATTCGCGGGACACAGGGCCTTGTTCGGACGACTCGTGCAAACCTTAATTTATTTCGCGTTTGCCAGTAGATGCACAAGGGGTGGCCAAGGCAAACCTAGGTTTGTCTAGGTTTGAGAATCACACTTTGAGCACGCACCACGTTTTGAGGGGTGGTTGGGAGTCCATCAAGATTCTTACATGCGGTGGTGCTCGGTCATTAACGTCTGGGGGATACAGATTACGTCAGTCGCCATGCTCGAGGCTGTGTTGTTAGTCTAAACTCCAGCATACCTTGGAGACATATTGCGACCGCAGCATCCTCTGCGGGGTATATCGCTGGGGTTACCGAGGATCCGACACCTGAAACATTCAGCTGCGTGCCGACTTGGACCAGTTTCTCACGAGTTACTCTCTCTTTACAGATTTCTAATCGGTGGAGAGGCCATCCACAGGATAGAATAGCAGCTGCAGAAGAGAAACAGACTGTGGCATGTTAGGGCCAACGCAACACCCTCTACGAGGGCGCATCCTGCTTTCCCTCTTCTTTCTGCTCGGCACGTTCGCCCTGTTGTCCCGAGCGGCGGCCTTCCCGGATTGGACGGACTGTCCAGCGGTATGCAGGTGCAAATGGACGTCCGGGAAGAAGTCGGCCCTGTGCCCTGACGCAGGCCTGACGTCACTGCCTGCGTCACTGGACCCCGACATGCAGGTGTTGGACCTGTCGGGTAACAAGATACCAGCGCTACAGTCGGAGATCTTCAAGCGTTCCGGACTGCTGAACCTGCAGAGGGTGTTTCTGAGGAACGCCGGCATCCATGAGATCCACGCGGACTCATTCAGGGACATGAGGATACTGGTGGAAATCGACCTGTCGGACAACCACGTGCAGGCCCTCGAGCCGGATACGTTCCTGGGCAACGAAAGACTGAGGATTCTAATTTTAAGCGGTAATCCTCTGGGCATCCTGAGGAGTCACCAGTTTCCCGTTCTCCAGCACCTGCGGAACCTAGAGTTGCAGAGGTGCACGCTGTCCGAGATCCACGGGGAAGCGTTCGTCCACTTGACCGGGCTGGAGTCGCTGAGGATCGACCAGAACGAGCTGGAATATCTGGAGGTGTCGGTGATATCGCGTCTGTCGCGTCTGAAGACTCTGACCATGGACGGGAACCGGTGGAGTTGCGACTGCAGGCTCCGCGAGTTTCGAGCGTGGCTGATCTCTGACGTGCCCAACAAACTGTATTCCGTGCCTCAACTGTGTTCATCGCCGAAGCGGCTGGAGGGCCGCAAGTGGGAGGACGTGAAATCCGCGGAGTTCGCCTGCGAGCCGGAGGTTTTCGTGCTGAGTAGCAGCATACAAGAAGAGATGAACGGGAACCTCAGTTTGGCCTGTTTGGCCACGGGTGATCCCGAGCCGGAGGTCTGGTGGCAGCTGAACGGTGGCCCGGTGAACGCGACCAAACTGACCGAGCAGACTTATTCGGGGACGTACATCGCCTATGCGACGTCCGACGCCGGAGCGGCCTACAACGACAGATCCACCTCTGGGAGGATCATCGACAGATGGAACAATTTGACGGTCTACAACGCCAGCGACGGTGACGCGGGGGAGTATGCCTGTTTCGCGAAGAACATCGCCGGTTTGGCGAGGGACACGGTCAGTGTGGCTATTCCGCGTGTGTACACAGCGCCGACGCTCTCTCAGAGTGACAATTGGTTGTTGTGGGTCAGCCTGGCGGGCGGTGGTGCAGCCGCCTTGTGCGCCTCTATTTCCGCCGTTTTACTGGCACTGTGCGTGTGTGGTGGGTCCCGTCGACACAGTGCTCGCGAGAAAGTGAAGCTCCAAGGCAGCACGAGCTTCGGCGACCAGGAGAAGAAGCTTCTCGACCTATCCGTGACGACAACGACTCCGGGGAACAGCAACGATCAAGGCAGCGGTCACGGTAGCCTGGTGGAGGCTTACAGCAGCGGCGACCTAGAGCTGGCGGAAAGAGGCTCGATCTGCGATCCCATGAACGCAGCCACCGTTACCGTCGAGAGACTGAGACCGGAAGTGACCAGTGGTTCCGCGAACGCGATGAGGGCCTTGCCATGCGCCGCGATGTTCCCGCCACCTCCGCCGGAATTCACCAGCGGCGTTCTGCCCGCTGGAATCTTCGGCAATATCTTCATTTCCGTGTCCGTGCCCCAGGATGCATCCGATCGCTGTTACCCGGACCTTCTCGACATTCCTGTCCACGGCACGAGTGGCGTGGCGAACAAAGGATCCGCCGCACTGGCGGCAGCCACCAGTGTGTCCAGCTTCGCGACGCTACCGCGACGAGCGTTGCGGTCGACCGATCTCTGTTCGCCTTACGACAATATGGGGCCCCGCGTGACGGCCAATGGAAGTTCCGCGTTTTCGCTGACGGACGTCGACCTACGGTTATCGCCTCCTCCGCCGCCGCGAATCATCCAACCGCCCCACGAGTTCGTCTCCCTGTAAGGACACCCCCGGGGACCGGCTTTCGAGCAAATAGTCGGTATACTTGTTCAGAGCTCATCCGTCGCTTTCTTCCCACGTTCAGTCGCGTCGTCCTTAAAACGGTATCGTTCATTGTGTTCGTTGTCGACAGTATTCCAAGCGTATCTGTATTTTATACGGTGAGCCATCGGCCTACCAGGTTAGTTAAGCTAAACGGTGGTTTTCTACGGCTTTACAATGTGTTTCAGTTGCCAATGTCACTCTCAGCCTCTATTGTCTTCACCTTTAGATGTGGAAACGTTTACAAAAATTCCATTTCCATTTCGATATCCTCGCATCTTGAACAAACATAACTGACTTGATAAATTGCGCACTTGTGATTCCGCACCTTCGATACGTGTTCGTTCTCGCCACTTGGTACGCGAATGGCTCACATTTTTAACCATCAGACACCACTCCTCAATCGTACATTGGTTAAGGTTGTATGCATACAGGGACCTAGAAAGTTTGTATCTCGTGCGTATATTAAAGACGTCCGGAAGGTTATCGAAAGTAGTATACAGAATATTTGATCGAATCCACTCCAGTTATGTCTGTCCAACGTATTCGATTATGTAAGACATCGAGTTTCGAAACTGCACGTTACCTTCATTCGAAATCGCTCAAAGAGCAAATAATTGGCGTCCTTGCCTCGAGTCTCTGTTGTGGCTCTGCCCAAACGGATCTTTCATTTTGTAAATAGCTTCGAAGAAATTGGGATTAAATTCTGTTATCTAAAATTCTACAGATCATTCCTAAACTTACTTTCAGGCCGCCCAAGCCTTAATTAAGTCACGGCCTAGCCGTTAAAGTTGTTCACACCAAGCCTAAACCAAGATGTTCAAACCATTCAAAACCTCCAAGTTTCGTAAACCTAACGAGCTTGCAGATCATCTTGAACTGACTTGAGCTTCGCTCTCTGATTCGAGCCGACCCAAGTCGATTCGAATTCCATCATCAACACTAAGTAACTCTACCGACGAGTTCGCCAGTAAATCCAAAGCACACTTCCCATCTCTCCCTCATCCCATGATCTCGCGGCGGCCAAAATTAATCTGCCACGTTTCACAGTTAACGCACGTGAGAATATTTGATCGGACAACGCGCAGTTTCGAAAAACAAGCTCCTCGTCTGTCTATTCGCTTGTCTGCCCGGCTTGCATGCTTGGTCAGCGTACAGTGGCTGCTCGCAGAGGATGTGTACGACGAGTGCGTGTGTGTGATTAGACCTAAGTCTCTTCTAGTTGCCAATATCCACGGAGGCAGGTGGTTTGTACATAGAGATCCCGCGGGACTACTCGCGGCGGAAAGATGGACGAAGTAACGTTACCGGTTCTTTCCCTACTCATTCTCGAAGTGTATCACTAGTTTGTTACCGTACTCTACGTGTGTACATATTTGTTATCGCAGTACACGTATTATAGCGTGGCCGGCGCGTCGCGTGCCCCGCGTCGGTATTCATTATGAACACTTTGTCAATTAATAAAACGATTGAATTTTACACACATCGTGTCATCGTTCTAATTTATTCCGCACGAACGGAATTCGGTAGGCTTCAAGGTATTAATTTCTCGGGATATGCGGACTATTGGAAGTTGGTAACGGGATAGCGGGTGACGTGACAAAAAAAAATAAAAAGGGCACTTTGTTGATACTGCCTCTATGTGTAACGGTCAGACGCGACTTCGGTCGGCGGGTCTGCCCGTGAAGTTTTCTCCATTTTTAAATAAAAATCAATAGAGTGATTCCTTGGAAGATGTTCATCTGGCGAACCTCTATACAGGTGTCCTCCTATCAAATTTTGGGAATTAGGATGTTTTGCTCGCGGACGATAACGGATTACAAAAAAATTTAATTTTTGTATTTCTGAGACCAATGAGCTGGAGACATTCTTTTGTCGAGATAGAACCGAGGCACGACTTCATCAGCAATGTTTTAATTGTAAATGTCACGGGAGTTCATCGTTGGTCTGGAGCCGAGAACATCTTTCAAGGGAGTACTGTACAGCATTTACAGTAAAACTTTGGATTTCCTCATTAGCCACCCTCTCCTTTCCAGCTTGAAAGGATCCTATTTCAATACCAGCCACCTACGCAAGAATGGCAGAGAGGGACGCAATTTCTCATTGTATGTAATGAGATCGAGATATCCTGATTCCCGTAAACTCCAGGTAGGTAAGAAAAAAAGGGACAAGAAAAATAGCTATTTAGTCACTGAGAATTAACAGGGTATAAGAGAAAGTCTGAAAATCTATAAAGAGGTATCAAGTTCTGAACAACTTTCAGTTTTCTTTTACAGTTGCGACTTGGCAAACCTGCGTACAATGAGAGAAACCGAAAATTGTTGCCCCGACTCTTTCCATGCGTCTTTCAAACGAATGTAACGTATCCTCTATGGCTGAGCTTCGATATGGACGTATTTTGAAGCTGGTGGAATATTAAACGATGTATTAACTCAAATCGAGGAACATTATCGGCAGTTCGTGCATTAAACGGTGCCGTTCCAATCGGCATTTCAGACTTCCGGAATTAATACTGTGTATTGTTTACTAATCTGTCGCTACGTGGGTGCCTATTAATACATATAATAGTATCAGCCAGTTTCCGATGAAACGCTGTAACACCACTTGTCATTCAAATTAAACGCTCGATGGCGAACGCTACTGTTCATTAACCCCTTAACCTACACGCTATCTCCCGATTGCTCGTGCCATAATAACGAACGAACGAAGTACAGTATTGTCTCGAAATAAGCAACTGCTTTCCGCCTCGAAATAAGCAACTCGCTATCCCCGCCTTTTTATTCGAAGTCGAGTGAGAGATCCGACGAGAAGTGAGAAGTCTGTGAAAGCGAGAAGCCATAAATCTTTCTCAGTTTTCTCTTTCTTTGGCGTGTGTATTCGCCGAAATACAATTAGTTGTACATATACATTCCATTCGTTCGATTTTACTAGTGCTAAAATGAGAAAGCATGTTATCTTCTATCATTCTCGAAAGCACAACACCCGTACTCGAGCGATCACTTTATAGTTTGCCGATCCCCCTGTTTTGTCTACGGGTTCCCCCTCGTCACGCTCGGGAACAAAGTCAAGCGGAATAGTATATCTGTTTCGAAATAAGCAACTCGCCGGTCCCGACCGAGTGTCAGACTCGTGCTTGTTGTTTATAGCCGAAATTCCTTACCACGAGTATCACTCATGTATGTAGTCCAAAGGGCTAACTACGTCATTTTGGAAGACCGGTGCCAATAATCGTCGATATATACGAGGCACTGCTGGAGAATACTTTCAAGCCCATCCCGCAGTGGCAAACATTCCTCAACAAATAACCAATGGGAACGGAAAAAGAACGTTTCCATCAAATAGAGATAAATATCCACGAAGTCAAAGAGACTTGGATGCCAACTTTAATAAAGAAACAAGTTGCAACGGACGGATAGAGTTTCACAAAAAGCGGGTACGGAATTGTACGATATCTTGGGGCTTTCGAGCGTCGTATTTTCCTGGATCCTCGGGCGCTACGCGAATCTATATATCGGGACGATCGTCATCCGTTTTCCAATTCGAGGAAAACGTTCGACAGGAATTTCGAGTGGCCCGATATCAATTGCTAAGTGTATTCGCAGCGGAGCTAGAATTTCAGTGAAAGTCGCAGGAATAAGAACGAGATAGGTAGCGGCGTTCGTTGCAGAGAAAGAAACGTAATTTCAGGGCTTTTTATTAGATCCTTTTCTCGTGTCAGCGGAAACTCCGTCGAGCGAGCTGCGAGGGCGCACGTCCTGACAACTTCGCCATAATCCAAATAAATACAGATACTCGGTGTCCGTGGTCGTTGGCATACGGAGAATCTATCGTGGCCTATAACTTCTTGTACAAAGTTCGGTTAACGACCACTGGCGCGAATTAAAGACAGATTGGTCGACGACAGAGAGCCTTGTAGAGGGAATTAGTACACCACGTCGCGTTCTCCGTGCGAGATCCGTCGCGTCGTGCACCACGCTGGAACCGGGGGATCATTTGCAGATGCCTCGTTCGACGTTCGTCTCGCGCCCCAATCGTGGAGTGTAGTCGTTCAGCGATGTTTGACCGTTCCGTAAACCTGCAACTGATGATCAAACAGCTGCAAACATGTTGGTACAGATATCGAATCCAACGAAGCGTGATTGGTGTCGCCCCAGCACTGCCAGTAAAATATAAATTGATTCCAGGACTTTGGTCGGGCTGTATGATCTTCTTGGATGTTATCAGTTGTTGGGAATAAGGCGTACTTGAGCGCCATCCTTTAATTCGTACATTTACAGTCATCGAGCGTCCCTTTTCGACCCGGACGCGGAATGGTGCTCGTCACGAAGCGTTTTTGGCGACGTCGGATCCGTGTGAAAATCTATCCCAATCGTTACGTGATCCGCGAGCAAAAGTGTATCGCGAATGTCCTGTTGATGCAACTCCCCCCGATCCAAATGCCAATTTAATTTTTCGCCTCGTACAGCTCGTATTTCGTCCCCGGCACGATACGTTACATCGCGCCGATCGGATTTGCGGAGAATAAAGCGCGTTATAATGCGCTATTTATACAGGGGGTCCCGAAATTCATCGACCAAATGGCGCCGACGTGTTTTGCGAGCAAAAATAATGGACAGTTTGACTTTTAAGCGTCGACGCTTTCGGATCGATAGGTTAGCGAACGAACAGAATTTTTTGTTGATGGATTATTCTGGATCCTACAATTACTCTGCATTTTTCTTAACGGACCCAGAATACATGTGCTGACGTCATACTATGCAATTAAGTATTATCGATGGTAGAGAAATATCACAGGTAGAGAAGTTTTTATTACGACTTCCTCGGACTATTTTTACCAGAATCTTCTTAGATAAATCCCAAGAAAATTTCGAACAACGTACGTCAATCCGTTGCCGAAACCACACTCACACTCACGCACACTTTGTACCTTGAGCGTCGGAGTAAAGCGATCTGTTCTCGTCGATCTTCTGCGGTGGACGCTGTTCCTTCATGTGTAGACGGTTGGGGATCAACCATGCAGCATCCTTCAGATTTTTGTTCTTGAAGTTCATCGATCTTCCGACGTATCCTGACACAATATCGTGAGAATCGATGAATCAAGCGGTGTACCATTTTTCGTATACCGAGCGTGCAATGTAGATGATACCCGAGCACAAAGGGGGGATCTTACAGACTGTCGGAAACTTTGCACAGGTATTGGTCCAACCAGAGACCTATTTTAAGCTCTCGTATCAGAGCCACTCGATTTATTCGTACTCGACTCTTAAATTACAACAAATGCTTCCAACAACAACCCCCCTGTATCAATTAAACGCTTTGAAACCTGTTGCGACTTTCAAGTCCACTCTAATGAAGTTCGTTTTTAACCGACTTCGAAAAAGGAGGAGGTTACTCAATTCGACATGTATTTTTTTTTTTAGATTGTTAAATGACAACACAAGCTTTTTCCTTTTGGAAGATTGTTAAAGACAACTCTGTAAGATGATACAAGACCAAGATGAACGCTTAGATTTCAAGAATTTTTGGAAAATTTTTCCATTGATTTTCTCTTCGGATTTGAAAATTGGATATAAAATTGAGCCAAGCAAGAACGATGCTTCTACCTTCGTAATCTTGATCCGGAGCAGAGTCCAAGTCCATGTCGCGCACGTTATAAAATTGAAAGTCCGCGTCGGGTTCCATATCGTGGTAGCGGTTGAAATTAACATTCGAAATCGGTAGATCGGCGCGACCGACTCTGGGGTACTGGACCAGGCCTGCAGCACGATCTAGCCTCGTGAAACCAGCCATTTCGGAGCTTCTACCGATCCTGGGATATGGCACCAGACCAGACGCGCGTCTGTTGTTGGCTTTCACTTTATCCCCATCTAAAAGATTCCAAATTTGGAACACGATCCTCCAGTGAATTTTTCGTAATTATTTTACCATGGAAGCACATTTAAATTGGAGGAAAGAGCAGTCGATTGATGATTTGGGTGCGGACTGCTAACGAGGAAAGAATTAATTTCAGGCAGGATTCATCAAGCAAGATGGATGTATGTTATATATGCTTTGAGATAGAAAGAAGAGAGTTGCGATATACATGTCTTACCTCTGGCGGAGTCGAGGTGTTGACCAAGGGAACATCGGGGCACTGGAAGGACAGTATGAGTCACAGGGCGGTACTGATCAGAAAATTTTTTAATTTTCCTAGGTCCACCAATTTCAACCCAGTGTCTCACTGGAGTCACAGTGGAGTATCCAATAGAAACTCAAGAGAGCCCGGTAACGAAAGAGAAAAGGCCCCAACCGATGCACAAAAGCTACTTGGCACAACAAAAGCAAAGAAAAATAAGCCAAAAAATGCATCGCACGAAAACAATATTTGTAATTTTCCTAGGTCGAAAAATTTCAATCTAGTGTCTCACTTCCTCACTGGAGTTTCCAATAAAAACTCAAGAGAGCCCGGTAACGAAAGAGAAAAAGATACTTATAATTTTCCCGGTTCAGTGAGTCTCAACGCGTTCCCAAATACAGCGTTCGCGCTACGACAAGAAGAAGTTTTGCCGTACGGGAAGGAGGGTCCCGCGGAAACCGAGAAAAATGGCTCGAATATGGATAGCAGCGAGTTCACCGGTGTAACGAACCGCGAAACGGTGAAAAATATGAAAAGCCTTGGTAGCCGGGATCGACCGGGGAAGCGGATCGATCGACGAGTACACACTTACGGTTGAGAGAAGTGGAAAATATTAGAACGACCAGGAATACAAATAGGTGATTCGTCATTGCAATGGGGGCGGTCGGTCTCAGTGATCGAAACTCGATGAAGCGATGCTGCGGAGAGCGGGATCTAACCGGCACTGAATACCTCCAGGTATCCGACGTCTGATTTTATACCTTGCCAGCCACCCCATGCACCCAGGGGGTTCAACCCTCTCGTTTCGCATTCCCCATCTCACACTTCCGCCCTCACGCTCGCCCAGTGTCATTCCCATCCGCACGATCGGCATACTTATTCACCGTTCCACCCCCGTTAATGATCGAACTTTCGGTCCTAGTCATGGCGAAGGGCTACTGACGCTAGGATTGCTGTTTCATCGTGAAACTGCTCCGGTTCGCGGAACATGTAAAAATACAGGACACGTTTTTGTTTTAGGTAACTCGGGGTCCAGAGCCTGAGCTGTCTTCCAAAAGTTTGGGGAATTGATCTGCGAGAAGTGGAACAGGATGTTGGAGTGCGACCCTGTTGGATAGGAGATGAACGGGTGTCTTCTAGGACTGTTGGGTGAATATCTACTGTCATAAGGTAAAATTTTCTTTGCTACAAAACTGAACCCAATTATTTAATTGAGGTACGTTCGACGACGTTTGGAGTGGTTTGGGACAGTGAAAATGATATCCAGAAAAATTTCTAGTACGAGAACGCACACAATGTTCGTGGAAACCACATCGATGCAATTTATTCCTTCCAAATATCGCGTTATATAACAACAGCTGAGCCTGTTTGGATAATAATATTTGCTCGCCTCGCTCTATGTAATAAAAGGGCCATTCAAGTTTGTGCAAACAATCGAGACACCAATTAATGTTTACCGAAATAGTTGGACATTCTCTATACATAAATCGTATTTCCGAATTAACAGAAACCGCTTTGGTTCCTCTGTATTTAATGCAATGACACGGAACCGCGGGAATGAGTTTCGTCCCCGATGTAAATTACATGTTAGTCACGAATTGATTTCCGGGTCGATATGTTGTTCCGTTGTAGCGAATTTTTCGCCAAAATACGCGGTTTATAAACGCACCGGCCGGAACTACCGATTTTCCAATACCTTCGCAGTGCTCGAGTCTCTATAAACGAGACCAGAACGTTATTTTTATTAAACTCTACAGACGTGTGGAAATTGTTCCGAACGTTCGCCGGTGTTTTTATAAAACTGTTACATCGCAACGATTTCCATTCGCGACTTTAACGTAAAATTGTCGCTGGTAAACAACTTAAACGATTAAAATTACTCTTCATAACCTGTTCTGTAAATAATTAACGCGAAATCGATTTATATAAAAATCATGAATATTCGAGCCGTTTAATGGACGGCATCCCCAGCTAGCTAATATCGAGCATATTCTTCACGAGTATATCGCGAGTTCCGAATAACTCGTTTCGAGCAACAAACGCAACTCTTAATATCCAAGAAGTTTGTAGAAGAATCCGTAAAAGTCGAAACGATGCATTACCGCCGGTATTTCTAGCTGTTCTCGAACTGTTAAAGTTTCACCGATACAATTATTTTACAGGCCTCGCTCGTAAACAAAAAGTTTATATTTCGTTAGCGCTCACGCAATAAAACCGCTTTATGAGCATCAGTGTACTGCGCCACGAATAATTACTTGCGAAAAATCTGTAATTCGAGGGAAATTGGTAGTTCGTTTCATTGACATTTCGTAAAGTGAAATCCGCTCGAGGGATTAGAGCGTTCTACGTTATACCACTTGCCGTGTGTCCACCGGTGATCCGGTGATCCATTCATTTATTTAACACCGCTTTAGTTATTTTATCGATTCACTCGACATTATTTTATTCATCGAACGCTACGCAATTGTTTCTGCGTTCTATTTATTCGTCGAGGCCTTCCAAGTAACGAATAACCTCTTATTCGAGCAAATCTGGCTCAAATAACGCTACAGATTTATTCGAGCAATAAATGTTAGGGATTTTTCGTGACATAAGAATTTTATTTCAACACTCTCGAGTTTTCTAAACAACAACACTAACAAACAGGACAAATCAGTTCGAATCCACTCGGACCCGTGCACGTAACGTTTGAAATCGGATAACTGTAACGATTAGTTATAATCCAAATCCACAGTCGCGCGTGTTGCCCGACCACACCGTACACAGAGAATCGAACACAGATTTATAAATGCGTGATACGATCGTGACAATACTGATTATGCCGCATTACTTGGCTGGTCGTGATGTATCCATGTTCATGTAATACTGGGGTAAAAGGATGTACTTTAATCCTCGCGACAGTATATTGCATATTTTTCTAGGGAAGACCAGTAGCTTTAGTCCAATCCACCCGGGTCTGAATACGTTCCACTGCTGAATTCAATATGAGAAACTTGCAAAACGGAAACCACCACCGTGACCTTTCCGTGCCACGAAACAGGCGGAGTATCGCCTAATCTAACGTTTGCCAAACTTTCTGGACGCTGGAGCCCCAAAGAGCTGTCACTTAGGTAAGCTCCTGTTTGACCGTGTTTGATTTGGGACACTTTTAGCTTTGTGATTCATTTGTTCTAATCATTCCTCTCGTGTGGTAAGGTTTGATCCTTCTTCCTATCCGTTCTACTCGGGCTTGTTCTTGTATGACCATGTTTGACTGGGTTTTCGAGGGACTCTTTTATCTTTCATTGCCTGCATTTCATCCGTCCCAATCATTTCTTTTATGTAATAAAGCTTGATCGTTTGATATTCTTTCTGTCTACATTACTCAGGCTTGTTCTTGTATGACCATGTTTGACTTGGTCTTCA